TATGTATGTATACATGTTCACACATAGACACGAAAAAAGTGAATGCAGTGAATGTCTTTGGAGTTGTGATGGGGTAGCTGTAGTTGTTCTGTGTTTGATGTTAGCTAGCAACTGTAAAACATTTGTTATTGAATGTTTCATGTTGTCATGGTGATTGTGCTTATGGACAAGAAAAAGCAATCCAGAAAAATGACCCAACAGTTATTCAAGTATCTATTAGAAGTAGTGTGGAGTGGTTTCTGCTATTATAAATGGGATAATTTGGGTGTTAATTGCCTGCTGTTTTAATGCCTAGAAGTCTATTTGTTTATACTGCAATTTAGTAATGTCACTCGTGAGGTGGATCTCATCTGTTCGTAGGTATCTACTAAATGGATCTGGATTTAGGGCGTGTGCAGGTAGCTCCCCTCAACAGTAGCTTGAAAAACTGACTGGATTCTTTTTCAGTGAATTTGTGTTCAGCATAAAGTGGAACTGCAACCCACCCATGTTCCCCAGAGCTCTCACCAGCCTACTCTTGAGAGGTGAAAGACATGGGTCTTAAATGTCCTTTGACAGCAGAGGAAACTGAATTCCTCTGTTTCATGTGCTGAGGGAATGGCATTGACATCACTATCTGAGGAAATCCTTGAAAACCCATGGTTTGGTGCACAGGGGAAATCAATGGACTTAAGCTGAAAATCTAAACTTGGATATAGCATGTAGGTTGGGGGCAATATGCTATGTGCAAAAGAAGATACTCTGCAAGATTTGTGTGAGAAATTATTTAAGTAATTTTAAGTATGGTTCTTAATTATGTGGCAAGCATGGAAAGCTTCATCTGCTCTGCCAGAATTCTTTCTAGTACATAGGAATTATGCCAGAAAAATAGATATGTTTTTGCCAGAACTGCGGGGACTGATGCTCAACATGCTTATTGCATTTTTTGAAAACGTGTGCCAATGGAGGTGTGGTGCTAATTGCATCAGTAAATGTAGTGTTGGGATGTTACGGGCCATAATCTGTGATTTAGCACAGAGACTGTGTAACAGACTGTGGGGGGGTTTGCTGTATCAGAGAAGATATATTAGTTGACACGCTTCCCGTGCTGTGGCTGTCACAACTCTTCCACAGTTGTGGTGGTGGAAGTCTACATGCTTAAGTAACTCTGCTGGACAGTTTGGCAACAAAGGGTTCTGAAATAGATATTCCATTTATATGTATAACCGAAGAGTTGAATTTTTATTAAATCTGGAGGGGACCAGGGCAGAGGCTTAAGTGGTAATTGACGATTATCAATGCTGATTTTTAAAATTATTTTTTTTTCTTGGTAGAATAATTGCTGTCACACTCCTAGCACTGCTTTGCCCTGTGCTAATTAATATTTCTTTAGACAATGATTGGATATAGGAAGGGGGTAGCATGTATCACTGTTCCCACTAAATAGGCTTGGTAAAGCCTCTGTTGTCAGAGGAAAAAGGTTCAGCTGTGTGAGCTGGTTACATTCATATAGATGTAACTATGTGGTGGTGGTGCAGTTGACAAGAGTATTCTGTGAAGCTCTTCATATTTGAAAGTAAATTTAACTATGAAACTGCATATCTTCTTGGCAGAAACTTAATTTTCTTCCTTCTCAGGTGTCTACAGTGTGTAACTGAAAATCGGAGGAGGAGGGAGGGGAAAGTTTGATTGTGTTATCTACCCTAGTATTTTTATCTATTGAAGTGATACTGGGCTTTGGGAAAATGTTTGTTTCCAGTGTATTATATTTCAGTACCCACATCACTCCTACAGTCGAAGAATAAAGCTGGGACTTTTTATATTAAAAGAAAAAAGTTGCCTTCAGCTATTAGTTTTCCTGAATCCAAAGAGACGGGTGGGGTAGGATCAAAAATACTTACTTGATCAAAGTTATTGGCTCTGAAGGTATCCTTACCTATGTAAGAAAGATGAAAGGTGTTGTTTTTATTGCACGCTAGTAACAGTGTAATTTTGAACTAATTGGTGTTGAACTGCCAATCACCTAGGGGGAATGCAAATAGATACTCTTACAATTTCCTTTGAGGTACTGAAATCTTATGTCGGGGCTGGAAGAAAAACAGAATAATACCGTTAAATTGACCTTAAATGAGCTGCTTTGTGGCTTTCTTGGAGAATCCCTTCTAACTTTTCATTGCTAGTCCAAACAAGTCTCGTCTACTGATTTGATTTATTGGCTAGACAGCGCTGACATTGAACTTTGTGCGTGTTTGAAATAAAGCTAATGTTATAGAGCTTTTAAGAATTTAGCTGCATCCTTTTCAAATACTCTTTTGACTGATCTGAAACTTTGCATTCCCCTCTCATAAAATAAACTTTTGTATAGCAACCTGCTGTTTGCTACTATTTTTAAGGAGGAACTACAACAGCACTTCAATATGACTCAGAATTTCTACTGAAGTTTCTATTAGTGATTTGATATGATTGTGCTGACTTTGTTGGGAAGACTCCCATGAATATTGGTGTTTTGAGTGCTGGATCTTCATATTGAAGAGGAGGAACAATATATAACTGGAATAAAACTTTTCCTAAATCAGCTACAGACAAGAAGAAAGTGTCAGATGCTAACTTCAGTTTTCTTACTTTGCCAGCTGCTTCCATTAAAGTTCTTGAGACTTGTTCCACTGAACATTATAGCTATCCATTTTCTCAACTCATAGTAATTAGTGATTCCATAAAACGGGTATTTTGGACTTTTTTTCAGAGGGAATGCTTCAGCATAAAAGCTGATTTTCATAATGATAATTAGAAAGTTTTTTTTTTTAAGAAAATGCAACTTTTTCTGAAAAACTGTGTATAATAATTACTTAAAATACACTGCAAAATAATACTGACATTCGTATTACAGGAACTTCAAGAGAACAGAAGTTGTTACAAACCAGCATTTGTAGGCCTTACTGGTTAGCTCTGGGAGTTGAGATTTTTATATATTAGAAGCTCTAAATATTACCACATACATTTATCTTTTGTATCAGTGACATAATGTGTATAGGCATAGCTCAGAGGTTGTTATATGCAAAAATGTGTGTGAAAGAAGCATGTGATTAAACATTTAAAAATTAATTTTTGGAACAGTTGGATGCCTCATTGATAATTTGACTGCATTGAACAAATCAGTATTAATGCTATGAAATATGAAGAGTGAAAGTGTTTGGTTTTTTAAAAATAGTCCAAGAAATAGTCTTGTATATCTTGATTTTCAGGTAGGACCTTACAGTGCTGGAATATGGAGAATGTGGGGGCTGGATGGGATGAGATATTTACCTTGTAATGAGATTGCTGGGTGGATGAGCAGGTAACAGAAAATGAGGAGGAGTGAGACAGGACTATAAAGTAGTGTTAGTGTGCCAGCAGCCTAAGTGCTGTTTAGTTTTTGTAGGCAAATGATCGAGACATGAGATAAAAGCCTGGACAAGACTATTAATCTCACTGAAATTTGTTAGTATGTTTAAAAAAAAAAAAAGTATCTGGAACGTGGTGCTGTTACAGGTTAGCCCACAATCGAAGGTGAGTCTGAGGTTAGGGAATGGCCAACAAGTCAAGGGTGTCAGTGTAAATCATGAAAGAAGACAACAGAGAGGACTTAGGGTTTATTAGGACCTTGAACTGTAACTGCCAGAGTGTTTTTTTTACAGACTGAGATTGGCTTGGGATAGATGGGGAAAATATGAGCCCTTTCAATTTATTTTCAAGTGATATTATTCAGAAATAAAAGGGATGAAAGTGAGGCAAAGGTGAGTGAAGAGTCTTTCTAATTTTTCCAAGGAAGAGTATTTCCAGTTTATGATTGCAAAGAGTAAAAGCTAAAGCAGAAATGATGAGATCAGAAATGAAATAGCAGATCTCTACTCAGCATTTTGGAGATGTATTATTGCCTGAACACTATGCAGTGTTTCTAGAGGAACTAGAATCAAGGAGAGAAACCACAGTGTTCTTGTACTGGAAAGGATGGGTGGTTGGAAGAAAATGGGAGACTGAAGAGAGAAATAATGGAGTGGGAAAATGGGCTGGATTCCCTAGAGCCTGTGTAGGGGTAGGAGGAAGAGTTGACAACTTTTAGGGAGAGAGTAATTAATATTATGGTTGTCAATTTTGAGCTGGTGCGGAGGAGTTTGAGGACAGTGCCGTGTATGCTGTGAACTGTGAAAAGGAAAGTGAGAGAATGTGATCTGGAGCGTGTGGTGGTGAGGAAACTCTGAGGGTGGTTGTCGGAGCCCTGCAGCACAGGGAGGCTGACCAAACTGGGCAAATGGACATGAGCAGAGGATATATCAACAAGCAGGTCAGCAGTGTGGAAACTGAGGTTGCTGAGTGAAAAGGACTGAGGAAAGGGAAGGAGTAGCAGAAACTGAAACTAGAGGTCTAGCCACCAGCTTACAAAGGTCCACTTTATTTTTAAGTTGCTAAATAATAACATCGATGAAAAGCATCCAGAAATTCTTCACATCTTGATGCAGGAATCATATGGAGATACAAGAATGAGACATTTGAGCCATCTTGTGCTAGGCTGCCACATCATAACTGGGTTTTGGACCTGTGCTACGCTTCAGCAATAGCTGTTCTCTTACTTTCAGGAGCTGGTCAACAGAATAAGCAGGGATCACAGGTCACACTGAAACTTCTGATATGTTGAACTTTTCTGGTTAGACAGAATTAGAGGGTTCTTGACTAAGCCTCTGAGTTTTGAAAAGTAGTTGAGTTTCAAAGAAACACGTATGGTTTAAAACCACAAGTGTTAATGTGATGAGGCTTCCTAGATCTGAATTGTAATTGTGTGTCACAGTAAAATAGGTGCATCCCAAAGAAAATACTCCTTTCTGTTTTAAAAGGTGTGTCTTCCATGGTGGAGTACCAGACAGCAGAGTTGAAACGGGAGCTTGAAAAAGTGAGAAGCAGAAAAACAAATCTAGGTAATTTTTTTTTCTACTGTTTCTTGCAGCTTGCTGTTTAATAAATGACCATAAGATGTTGTGTTTAGCTGGTAGCAGTCATTTGATTCCAGTTTGTTCTTAACCAAATTTGTGTATTTGTAGTCCTTTCAAATTTTCATAGTTTTTACAAATATATTACATGGTATCGTTGCTTTGAATCATTGTTTGACTGACAAATTTAAGTAGGGACTCTGATTTTGATCTTATTTTTAACATAATGTTAGAGAAATTTTAACACTTTATTTCCTTGCATGGAGTTCAATAGCATGGTCCTTTCATATATAATGATATGCTTATGATCATTTTGGATAAACTAAGACTTTCCTTTCTGTTTTTGAATTGTTTCTATAAATGTCAAACTATGTTTAAGAGCAGTAAAAAAATTCTTAGCAGGTTTGTCTGATACTTCTGGTTATAGCAGCCACTCAACAGTGAATCTTCTTACTTATTCAGAGGCTTACAGGATTTTGTATTTATCGCTGTGTTTTGTGCAAAACTAAGACTGTGGTGAGAATAAGTTGTTGAGCTTTCTTTTTAGACATGCTAGTGATGTCCAGTGAATTAGTCTTGTCTTTCTTGCCTTCTGTTATAAGAAGAAAATATTGTTCAACTATTTGAAATTCTGTTCTGTCCTTTAGGTCATACTAAAATACACATGTAAAAAGCATCTTTGAAAGTTCAGTGGATTTTAAACTTTGCAGAACTGCTGTATGCTGGGGGAAAAAAGTGTTGTGTGTTTGTTTTTTTTTTTTTTTTTTTCTAAAGCAAATACAGTATTAAGCTTCTGGTTTTGTCTTCTGAACAGAACGGCGGAAGAAAGCGTCTGCTTGGGAAAGGAATCTAGTCTATCCAGCTGTTATGATATTGCTACTGATTGAGACAGTAAGAAAATTTGCTTTTTTTTTTTTCTTTTTCCCCAACAAAAAGTATGAAGAATTCTTTTGTCATTTGGGGAAATAGCACTCAAAAATTTTAAAACTATGTGTTTAAGCAACAAAGTTGATCTTCTTTTCTTGGCCATTTTAGAAGCACTTAACATGAAATCTGTTGGGGATAAATGTATACATTTAAAAAAATGTGAAATACTTTTGAATAACAAGACTGTTTCTACTCTCTTTTTTATAGTCCATCTCAGTCCTCTTAGTTGCTTTCAACATTCTTTACCTGTTGGTTGATGAGACGGCAATGCCAAAGGGATCAGGGGTAAAGTAAACTTCTCTTAGTTTTTGTAATGTTATTTAAAGCTTTGGAGCCCTTACAAAAGTGCAAATGAGAACTTCTGGTTTAATAACATTGAAACTAATGAGCTTCAACCTTGACTTTGCTTCTGTTTGTCCTGTGCATACATTCGTTTGTTGCATGTTATGTTGTAGTGAGTTCTTAATAAAACTAGTCCAGAGTATGAAGATACAGTGATTTAGAAGATCATGAAATTGGTATTTTGCTCATGTCTTCTGTTTATATGAACCAGAAGTGTTCAATTTAAGAAACCCTGTTAAAAATCAGTAGGAAGAGCCTTTCTTGGTTTGTGCTCTTCTTGGAAAACATGAAATTTTTTCCTCCTTTATTATAAAAATATTTCAAGAAAGTAAAGAACAGCACATTGAGTAGTAGTGTCTTTAATGATGAGGGGCTTTTCATTAACGTGGTAGTGCTTTCCCCTGTGTAGAGCTGGATATGAACTTGAAGAGCCATAAAAGGTGTTTAGTGGTTATGGCTTCTACCTGTGGTATTGCTAACAACTGGAAGCGTCTTCTTTTGAGACCTTGTTTCAGTTTACAAAGTAATGGGGGTGTGTAAAATGCAGAGTGGTGGGTAGATATAGTGTGCATAGAATGTGAGTCGTAGCAATCCATTTCACTCCCCTTGGAAAGCTACCTGGTGCAGTTGCACAGGACAGGAGACTTGCAGGTTGGAATACCAGAATGCCCCTTACATACCTCACTGAGAAAAGGCTGTATTCCCTGTAAGACGTGTTTTTTTAGTCTTGGTAGAACTTACCTTTGTGAATGGTTGCATGTATCTTATTAAATTCTGCAAAATACTTTTTCTCCTTATAGGGGCCTGGAATAGGAAATGCCTCTCTATCCACCTTTGGTTTTGTGGGAGCAGCACTTGAAATCATTCTGATTTTGTATCCTTTCTTTAAGAGTTCTGTCTATTAACAAGTATTCTGTCTCCTTTTCTGGGACACTGGTAATTTACTAAGACACTTGGCTGGAAAGAAGAAAGAGATAGGTCGATCTTTCTTAAGCACTCGAAGTGTTTTTGTTTTTTCTTCTGTGGTTCTTAAGACTTTTTGGAGACTGCTGAGAACGTGAGTGAAACTTGCATTCTTTGGAGGTTCTTTTTTCCTTGATTCTCACAGCTATCTTATGGTGTCCTCTGTCGTCGGCTTCTACAGTCTTCGGTTTTTTGAAAATTTCACTCCCAGGAAGGATGACACAACTATGACAAAGGTAGGGTAAAGTCTGTGGTGGTGATGGCCCCTTCCCCTCTTCCTTGCCACCCAAGACAAACTGACTCTTTTAGTTAGTAATTGCCCTGAATGGCTCATTTGCAGTGATCAGTATTTGTTTGTAAGCTGCGTAAACACAAACTGGAAGATTTTCAAAATGCTGAATGAGTGGGAAAAAGGATGTGCTCTGTTTAGTTTGGATGGCATCCATTCACTTGTAAAAAGCCAGGAATGGCAGAGCTTGTTAACTAGCTATAGAAAAGCTAGTGAAAGAACTTTTTTCAAAGGGAACGTATTGCTAATGAGTAACTTTGATTGTGCTAACTGTACTTCAGAGAGCTTGTTTGAAATCTGAAGAACTTGGTTGCTAGAAGTAATACAGACAAAGTAATTCAAATTTGAATAATTAAACTAAAACTGAGGGGGTCTATTCAGCAACATTTCGCAGTCTGAGGCTAATTTGACTTTCTATAATTTAGCACTGGCTTCAGAATAGCAAATGCCATTACCTAACTCGGAGGAACATGTTTAGGTTTTTGGCAAAATATTCCCACAGCTGACAAGGAGAGATGATCTGTAACCAAGGAACAGATGTTGAATGTAATTATTTTTTCAGTGTTTCATTGTGGTTTTTTTTTTTTTCTTTTTTTCTGTTGTTTTATTTTAAATAATTTATGGTAAAAATGTCTTTATTATCAGAAGTTAGGAAGCAGGTAAACACACAGAAGGGTTACAGTAGATAGGTAGTAGGGAGTTGGAATGTTCTTAAAGTTTTCCATTGATTGTTAAAGTACACCAGGGACAGTGTTGAAATAGTGAATGCACAAATTTCTACCTACTTTACGAAGTTTTCGATTTTTTTTTTTTTGTTTGTTTTGTTTTTGTTTTGTTTTATTTGGATTCTGGTAAAATTAGAGCTGAAGAAATTGATCCTTTGTGAGAGAAAGTTTCAATTACTCTTTTTAAAGGCTTTACAAGAACTAGAGTGAAATCTTAACAGCTGTGAATTTTTTGTACTAGTTGAAGTAGTCAACAGGCATTCAACTGCAAGGAACCTCTTTGCTGTAATTTTTTAAATAATGCTAATCCTGCAAGCAGTTAGATACAAAGCTTAAGATGATGTTTCAGTTATCTATTCAAAGCTCATGGAATGATTCTTTTACTTAATTCCTGCCAACTTTTCATAAACAGTTGATGCCTTGCAACTTGGTCGTTTTGAATGATTTTGAATATAAGCATATGTAACACTGATTAAAAGGAAGTGATTGCATATTTGCCACCTTCATCTTGTGTACCACCATCCGGGTAACTGTGACAGAAGTAAGCAAGACCAACAGTCAGTTATGATGACGTGCTTTAGGTTCAGTTTGAAGAGTGTAACTTTCAGGGATTCTTCTTTTTCACCTTCACCACTGTGTTTGTTTTTTCTTAACTGCCATTTATGATTTAAATTCTGTTTGTCATCTTCAAACAGATCATTGGAAACTGTGTCTCAATCTTAGTGCTGAGCTCTGCTTTGCCAGTGATGTCAAGAACGTTGGGTGAGTGAAATGGGAGTATAAAACATTGCAATAAAGGATGTTCGTTTGAGTAAACACACACACAAAAATATTAGCAATATAAAATAACAGCCTGTATTGTACCTTTCATAGTACATATTTAATTTGCCATCGCTTTCAATAGGAAGAGCATGTATGTGAGGCCTTCCTTTCTACACCAGCATGAGCTGTGGAACATGCTTTCTACATACATGAATTGCAGAACATACATTCTAAATTCTGACCTAGATTTTTTTAAACTTAAAACAGCACATAGTGCAAAGAATAGATATGGAGACTGCTTGTTCAGGGAAGTATAAAATAGTTTCATGTTCACTGTGAAATTATAGTACTCCGTTCTTGTGAAAAATTACTTTTAGGGATTTTAGGTATAAAATTTGAGATAATGTTGAGTGCAAACGTTTTTTTAAAAACAGTTAATGAATTTTCCTTTAGATTTTCTATCAGCAATGATACCAGGGTACTTTAGTTTTCCCTAAAATAATCTGCTTGCATTCTTTGCTACTTCAGTTTTTAAATACAAAATACAAAAATTTGAAATCCAACTTAGAACTGAAGAAGTTTTGATTATATTAAGATATAAATCTTAAGATATTAATCTCACCAGGGTATTATTCAACCAGAATACTGTCAGGTCAAAAGTAATGAATATTTTCTGGTAATCTATACTGTATGTTTTCATGCTGTGTATATCTAAAGATGATGAGTTTTATTAGATTTACCAGATCATTTTTATAACAACAAGAAAACTAATCCTGTAATGCATTTTGTAGGGTTGAATCTTAAAATACACACTCTAGAGCTTATGTTTTAAAAATCTGTAGTAAAACTTCACAAAAATGCAAAAGAATAATTCAAATATTTAAAGTTGTGCAGTTTTAAAATATAGCCAGTACAATAAAGGTCTATGAAGTAAAACACATCTAGCACTTGGAGCAAGATGTTATGTTGAAAAATTACTGGTTTAGAATAGAATTTTAACATTATTGTATCCATGAAGTTACTGCATTTGTTACTTTTTGTAAAAAAAAAAATTGTCAATTATCTATGAGATTAACAGTCGATAGTAAATGGATTCTGTGGAAGTAGGTATACATGCTGGGTGCATTGTTGTCTCATTGGAAACAGATTAATGCTAAAACTCACTAAAAAAAAAAAAAAAAAAAAAGGACTAACAAATGAAATACAAATGAAATTCCTGGCTGGTTTGCCATAGAGATAAATAAAAGAAGAAAAAAGATGGAACAATTAACACACAGCTAACAAATGCAGAGTCACAGCTGTCCAAACAGGATTAATAGTGTATTAGAGTACAGTGAGCCATGTGATGCTTTGCAGAAATATCAACGTGTTGCATTACATGCTACTGCCCTGTGGCACTGAATAGATGAAGAGAAATAAATATGTTAAGCAGATTCACAGTCTTTATTAAAAAAACAAGTTTCTATACTATACAGAAAAGACTAGACTGTATCACTATGGGAAAGGTAAAAAAAGCAAGTGATCTAATGCACGTACTGACCTTGTTCAAGTTTTAAAAATGGAAATAGGAGCATTTTTTATGTTTTGTAGCATGCTAGTTAGATATGTAGGTGGTGAATGTCTCTAATCCATCATTCTTTTAGAACACTAGGAAAGCTTTTACTGAAATAAGTTATTTTACTGAAATGAATTAACTTTTTTCCAGAACTTTTCAGCCTTTTAGTAGTCCTTCAAAAAAATTGTTTCCCACCAGCACCATATTGCTAACCACTGAGAAACAAATTTGGAACAGGGCCCTTAATAGTCAAGAATACAGAAACGAAGAATTGCAAACAAAACTAAATTTCCTAATATATAAACATTTTCCTAGAATTCTACTTGTGAGTATTGTAGCTTTAAGTAAATAGTGATTTGAAACTTAGTTGCAGGTACAGTCTAAAACCATTTTTAACTTTTTTTTTAACCTGAGGAATTCTTTAATACTTTTATTTGCTACCTTGTCACCAGCTCCCTTGGACGTGTATTAGTGTCCATTAGAGATGTAGTTTTCAATTCAGTTGCTGGGTGGTTTTTCAAATTGCAGTCTTGGGAATGTTTTTCTCTGTGGGCTGAGTCCATAAGAAAACCATGGCTTTTTTTTTAACCCTTTTCTCCCACAGATTTACAAACTAAGACTGTTAGATATCTGCTGATGAGCAGTAATGTCTTTTTTTCTTTTATTTGTAAGGGGAAAATGAATGTAATTTATGGACAATTTTTTTTCCACCTGCTCTAACAGAAATGCCAGTTTTCTTTTTTTGCCCTTACAACACCTGCTCTACTGCTAGCTCTTCTGAACCTCTTTGTATCAGGCATGTTACTTGTTTTCCAGAGAACTCTTTACCCTGTTCTCTACCTGTTGTTTTTTTTTTTTTTTCTTTTCCTTTAAAGATCTGGAAGCATTAGGTTCAAACCTGACTTTCTCAAAGATTTTCCTGTAGCTCCACAGTCTAAAACAGTCTGCTCCTTGAAACATGTTACGGGTGCTGTTTGCCTTCAAGTATACAAGCAACTCTGTATTTATTGTCCTTCACTGTTTACCTGTAAATTCAGTCAGCAGATTACTTCTTTTTAGTGTCAAGACCTTCTGTGCTTTTTTTGGTATTCTTGTCTCTATTGCTATTTTGATCAACTTCAGTGATTTTTTTTTTTCTTTATCCTTTGAAACTTCTCCTTCTTTATATTTTCTTTATTTTGGCATATTTTCCTTAGATACCAAATTTGATCCCCATTTTTATCATTTCAGTGAATAATGCTGAATATAAGAAGCGTGCATGTCTTAATTGTGATAGCTGGCTGTCTTGGGTACCAAGTACAGTGAGGTTTGTAAGTTACAGTTACCTTCCCTTGAAAGGAAGGTAGCTGTCACTTATTTCTGTCTCTCTTCATTTATTATCACTGTTGAAATCGCAGTTCTTAAAAGCCCCCAGACCTTTTCAAAATAAGATGATAGAAAAATAACTTCCTGGAAGTTCAGAGCCAGGACTGTTTTCTGATTACCTGAATTTCTGCTGCCATTTTCGTTCTGGGGAGAGGTTGGCTTGCTTCCTTGGCACTTCTGGTCTGAACTGTGAGAGCACACACCACTGTGACATCATTTGTGTCAAGTTTTTTGGGCATATAATGCCTTGTCAATCCTAGGCAACTGTTGTTTGGGTATCATCTCAATATTCTGCCCTTAATTCAGTGCAGTCCTCAGTGCAGACCTGGGAAAGGAACAACCTATAGGTCTTGCTTTTCTGCCTTCTGGAATGGACCCTACAGCTTGTAGACACTTCCGTGTTTTGGGAAAATTTTGCTCCCGTAGCCTTAGTGATTGACTAGCCTTTGATCAGCACAAAGCCCAAGTGTCAGTGTTAGAACATCCACTGTGAAGAAGACCTGTCAGCACTGTCTTTCAGCTAAACTCTTTTCCTTCTGTGCAAATGCTGTGGCTATAGTGGTGAAGAGAAAAACTAGTGGTGTTTCTGTTGTGGTCTAGGAAAAAAACTGCAGTTGGGAAGGTGTCTTTAAAGTTGGATTTCAAAAACAGTGGCTCTAAAAAACCCATGAAGTTTTGGTGTTTATTGTACAACGTTGTGGAAAGACTTTTATAATAAGAAAGCCCACGGTACATTTCATTCTTTCCTGGGAAAGATAAGGATTTTGTAGAAACTGAAATTTCAATCAGTTTTCATACTAATACTACATGTTTTTTTCCAGTTACACTGATTGAAATTATAGAAGTAGAATTCTTACCTAGAATGGGCTATTTACTTTAACTTCCATTATTCAGGCATTTTGATAAGTGTGTCTTAGAGTTTTATAGTGATTGCCACAGATTAATGTTTGACACAGTTTGACTTATCAGCAATTCAGGATTTATTAATGAAATTTGATAAAGGCTGATTTCAGCAGTACTTACTTTATATGACAAGTGATTTAGTAAAACAGTGACTTAATTACACATTTGAGGATGACAAGATTCACACTAACTTACTGCAAGGCATCTTCAACCAAAGCATGTGTGAATAGTGAATGTACAGATACTGAAACACTTGGCCAGTGAGATATGTAGATGCACACACTCATAAAAGCAAACACTTAGATAGACAGAGAGGTGGGTAAAAGACACTGGCCTATAGTCAAAACTTCCCCCTTTTAGTTTAGGATGAAGAGTTACACTGCATCACCATGTCTCGAGGAGCTGGTCTTGCCCAGCCCTTGTCAGCTACATTGGCAGGAAGTCCTGGGAGACCTCCCAAGTCAGGGGAGCTGCTGGGTGCAGCCAGCTGTGATCCAGGAGAGCTCAAAGGGTCTCGTCTTGGATCACTATTTATAGGATCTGAGATGACGACTTCTGTCAGGTACATTTCCATTCTGGCCTACCTCTGGCGTTGCAGTATTCTGGCTTGCACATGCCCATAGTGGATCGTGGGTTCTTGGGATCTCCCTTTGGGGCCACAGCTCAAGTACAACTGTACCAGGTCATAAGGGGGTTGACTGATGATCCAAGGTGACAAGGAGGGGAGCAGGAGCAAGGTATGCCGAGGGGATGCCTCAACACTGTGGTCCACTGCAGGGAGGTAGTTGTCTGTATTGTCCCCAGAGAACAGGGGAGGCAGGAGCCAGGAGCATCAGGGGGGTGCCTCAACACTCTGGTATGTGGCCCTTCCCAGTGGATTGCTGTGTGGCCCAGGCAGGAGGGTCATATCTTGGACCCATGGCACGTGGGCAGGTGGGAATCGTACCACCACAAGGAGGTGGGAACTGACCTTGAGAACATTGCCTTGTGTATTCATTCCACCATGTGTCTTACAGCGTGTGGTCTGAAAGAATTTTGTTTCCATATGTAAATAGAGTGATTTTTTTTTTCTTAAATATGATCAAGATTTTAATGTAAAATCTTAAATGCCATTTTAACAGGAATCACCAGATTTGATCTGCTTGGAGACTTTGGAAGGTTTAACTGGCTGGGAAACTTCTATATTGTGTTATCTTACAACTTGCTCTTTGCTATTGTGACAACATTATGTCTGGTCAGAAAATTCACTTCTGCTGTGAGAGAAGAGCTCCTGAAGGCATTAGGTAATATAGCACTGAAAATTTAGGTGGCACTTGAATGTTTCCCTTCTCTAGCATTAATAACTTGATGTGCTGCTTTTAAAGTTCTGTTATAACTCACAGAAAAAGTTGTAGTGGAAGCTTGTATAAATTGGTGTGAGAATACATAGCTTTGTGTTATTTTTGAAGAGTCAAGAGCTAAGCTACAATGTTGTTCTTAATAGCTCTGTGTTCTTATCGATCTGCAGTTAGATTTTCAGCCTTTAGAAAGCACAGAAACATTCTCATTGCATGTTCCAGAATAAAGTTTCAGCTTGTGTGTAGGTCATACAGTCTTAGTAGTTGGCTGAGAAAAACCTGTACTTGATGTAATCAGAATTCTGATCAAGTTGTGCATTTGTGTTTCTTGGCCATAGAAGAAAGGCTTGAAACAAGCAGTTCCTAGAGTGCACCTCTGCTGGTGGCAATTAAGTTAAAATCAGACCAAGTAAATAGGGAAATACAAAATGAGTGATAGCACAGGATTGAAAAAAGCCATACTGTGCTTTTTTTATTTTTGATGTTGAGCTTTGAAGCTCCAGAGGAACAGATTTAGTGGGCCAGAGGTGTGTAAATCTGTCCACTGATTTTTATACTGAAAATATTTTCAGAGAAGCTCCATTGTTGAATGAGATAGATATGTGATGTGAGTATAGTGTATTTGGTATTATCCCACAGCTTTTAGTAAAGGTCATTTTATGGGAAGACCTAGATTCGTCTCTTCCAGTTGACTTGCATAATCCTTTTTATTTTTTGTGCAAATGTTTTGACTGTAAAGGGATTACTTTGTGTAATGTAATGGCTGTTGCAAAGGTTTGAAGGAAATAAATTAACATCAGTCAGCATGGGTTTAGAGCAACAGGTCTGGTAAAACTTTAAAGTTTCTGTCTTAAAGCAGATGATGTAAAATATTTATCTTGATAATTCATGGCACTTTACTGTGTTGAACGTGTTTAATGAAAAATGATGTATGTTGAAAGCAGATTAACAAATTTCAAAATGCAGGCATAATAGGGTAATGGTCACTGGATGGCATCATTCTAGTGAATTTGTGTAGGAATTTTTTATTTGACTCTTGCTAGCACATATTGTGTGTTTTTGTATAAATATTGTGATCAAAATGTAGACACGAAGTAATTGGTAAAAAGTTTGCATTTGACACAAGCAGGGAGTTATAAATCCTGAAGAGTGCAGGTTCCTGACACAAACTGGGTTTGCTTTCAGTGCTGTGCATAACAAAGTGTATGTTAAAAACAGTCCCATGGAATTCAAAGAAGGAAAACCAAATCTGTGTCCTCATTTCTCCCCTATGCCGAAAATGGTGACACTGAGGACTAGAAGTTGGTGAAGTGTTATAGCTGATTAGTGGAAGGTAAATTCCTGCTTTAGGCCTGGAACCAAAACCATTTGTGTAATATTGGGACTTGGAAATAATACAACATTGATTAGATTTTTGCTTTTTTAGTAGTACAGTCAATTCTGGAATTCTGATGATGCCAGAAATTTAACCTGGTATGTCATGGACTGCAGTAAAATATTAAATATATTCTACAGTCAACAAGTAAGAAGCTCTTTCAATTTTTGATCCTTAATTCTAGAGACTTGGTCGGACACTTCAGAGGGAAACTGTAGCAAGCAAGGAAGGACTGACATGATGCCTCTTGTGAATAAAATGTTTACGTTTACCATCTTTCTTTACCTCCCCCGCAAAGAAGAGTAGTTTGACTGATTGCTTGGGGTAGGATGAGAGACTTTAATTAGCACTCATAGTAAAGAACCATGCAAAAGAACAAATGGCTGGAAAAGGAAATAAGCAAAGTAGAAATAATGTAGGCCTAAAAATACTGTTACACATATACAGAGTTTAGACTGGTGATGTAGTCATCACCCGAGATCTTAAGATCAGTAATGAATGCTTTTCAGAGGGATGCTATACTCCAAAATAATGAGCTAAAATACTCCTTTTAGTCTTTGGAGGTTGACAGAGTAAAGGATTACAAGTCTTTCTCAGTTCTTAATGCCTGAGCCTGTGATTTAAGCACAGAGAAGTTATGCTTCTCTTGTTTCCATGCTTGTCTGTTGTAACAGACTTGTCTCACCTCTAAACACAACTGAGGCAGTTGCCCAGAGGTAATTCTTACCTGAGCTAGAATGTCAATGGTCTTCATTGACATGGTGCTAGAATGGTCTTCAGCACCTGCAAAGTCCTTGATCATGAAGCAGAATTTGGTTTGTATGCATTATTTGGAATACTTGTATGTGCCAAACATGGGACAATCTCAGTTTTTCCTTATTGTGTAATGTTTTGCAGGATTAGATAAACTTCATCTGTCCAGCAATCCAAGAGACTCAGAGACAAAGCCGTCTGCAAATGGGCACCAGAAAACACTGTGATTAACAATCACCTGCAATCAACAGAGCTGAAGACATCAACCTCATGGCATTCCGGTCATCTCATCAGCATTTTTATACTAAGTTTATTTGTTGATAATTCGGGTCCAACCTGGTCTCAGTTTTTTTTTTTTTTTTTGATGCTGTGTGCTTCTGAGGAAGTTAGGTATATAAGATTCTTCTCTTTCCAGTGAACTTTTGGTCTGCTTGTTTATTTCTGAGTAAGTTAATGCAGGAGGTGCCTTGAAGACTGGAAGCTGAAGAGAACAACGCATTCCTTTTTGACAGTCTCACATCTTAGATATAAACCTGCTACCATTTGAATGCACAGTACCTCCTGTGTTATACAGACACAGCTATAAGGAATAACTTTGGGACTTGGTTTAGAAAAAAAAAAAAAGAGGAAGAAAAAAAAGTTACACTTGAAGCTCAATATGGCCCTTACTGGAAATGTAAGCTACCCGGAGTAGGTATCCTTGACAGTAGGTAAGCGGTTCCACTAAGAACGTGTAAAAATGATAGTAACTGATAGAGATCACAGCTCCTTCATGCTGGATACAGGAGGCTGTTCATAGTCTGATGTCATGAAGCTTTCTTGGCAGGTCAGCACCTCCAGTGTCCTGTTTGTAGCTGTAAGTGCCAGATTGCTTGACTGGTAGTCAGACAATGTATTACCGAATAGAGTGACGTACAAGATGAAGATTAACTTCAGTGTTAAATCTGAGCCTAGTATGCTTTGTAAAAAGCTGTGTAGACCCCCTGTCACAGCTCTTACGGTTCTGTAAGCTATTGTGCCACGGAGGTCGTTTACCCCCTACCAAGTACATCCCTGTAAAATTCTTTATGAACTACTGTGTATAAGCAGTACTTGTAATCAATGCAAGTAGCACAGGCCTAGGAGGCTGCAAGTGCAGTTTTTTACAGTTTTCTTTAACTTCAAGTAAATTATTTCTCTGAATTTATACTAGAGTTACCAAGATTTCTGTTCAGTGGCATAGTCCAGTACCTGGTTTTTAACGTACACATGAACATGTATATAGGCCTGTATGTGTAGATATCATAAATCCTAAGCTTACAGACATAACATGGGTGGCTTGGTAAGTAAAACTTGTGTGTAGTATGGATTTCTGTGGTGTTACAGTTTAACTGCTCAGAGGCCTTAGATTCAGAATGGCATCGGTGGGTGGTGAAGTCTTTTCTCTTAGCATTACCACAGCCTTAGGAATCCTTTAAGCAGTTCATAGTAAAGAAAAACCCACCAACCAAAACCCAAGGAAGTACTCAAAATCTGTTTGCGCTTTTGTCCTGTTCTGACGCAAGTAATCTCCAAACAGCTTGGAATGGGGACACTTTCAGTGTGTGCCCATTACGTAGTGAGTGAGATAATGACCCTGTTTATTTTCCATTTCTGTAGAACAGGTATGTCTGTCTGTGGTTTGAGGTCTTACATGTGATGAAGTGGTGACAACTAGTCCACCAGTGTGGTTCTGAAATACGATAAACCTTGTGTCAGAAGCTCTTTGGCTGTTCTCCTGAGATTACTGTTCTGGGCTGTAGACCTTATTGCTGTGTGTGTGAATGTGAGATTTTGAGATTTTTATGTTTTGTTTTGGCCCCTCCCTGCCCCCCTTGCTTTGAAAATCCAGCTTCAGTGTACATGAGGATTTCTGAGTTTTTTTTGCAGCTGCCTTTTTTGTCTTCAACTGGGACATAATGTAAATATTGCTGTAGTAAATATGATGCTAGAGTGTTACTTCAATTTTTTTGGTGTGATTAGTATAAATTCAAGGCTTATTAAACTGACTGTTGATGTGTTGTACTGTCTTGGAAGACAAAGTAAAATTCTTGATTTCACTAAGATCCACAAGCATGTATTTTGTTGTTTGAGTTTAATGCTGACATTCTATGAGAAATCTTGTATCTGAGTCAAAGTTCTGCAATCAAGAACAGGGATCTGTAATTCAGTTGGTTTAAAAATGTGTTTACAGTTAAAATATTGGGAAGTTTATTATTAGGGGCATCATTCAGGTGTTCTCAGAGCTTGTAGCCTTATATAGTAGCATTATAGTTAAAAATAGCTGAAATACATCCACTTGTCCATGCAAGTGATTGTGTGACCAAAATTGTTCTGGTGTCTTAGCGGGGCTGGTGAGTTGTGGTGTGTGAGGATAGATAGCTTTGTTAAAATCCTTCTATTACAACTTTAAGACAGTTATTTAAATACATGCTACAAAACTGAAGAGATTAATTTGAGGAATAAATTTAGGGAGTGTGAACCAGCCTAGGTCTTGCTCTTCATGCTTTTGGAGAGATGCTTGTCCTGGCATTGGTGACCCAAGAACATAGAAGATAATAATGTGTATGTGGTGTCCGAAAGTGAGTTGGGCAGTTACTTAGATTGAGCAGAGACAGTTCCTGCTGCTAGGCACACAAATTTCAGGGAAGACTTAAAAACTCTCTTTCAAAACAAATGTTACAGCCTTGCCTGCTCTTACTGCTTCTGCTGGATCCTGCAGTCAGAGAGGTACAAGCTAAGGCTGCCTTAGTGAAGATTTTATGCTGAAATGCAAAGGATGGTTTAGATGTTGTGTGGTTCCCAAGGTGGGTGAGAAACTCAGAACTACCCTGTGCAACTACTGACAGTGTTTTGGTTTAAATCACCTGTTTATATTGTGACGCTGTCCACATTAAAATATGCTTTTGGCCTTGAAAATTACATGCTTATGCAAAATGTCTTTACAGATACAATGCTACAGATATGCTAGGTGTAAGATACAGGTCACGATATACTTTTCACAGAAGCATATGTTCACTTAAATACAAGCAACTGGTAATTCATTAATGGATGTTGACAATACATTCCTAGTATTTTGACTCATGTAGAGTCAGGTGGTCTATACCTTCAAGGTATATACAGCTGATCTTAGTAACATTAGCATCTGCCTCACTTCTTAGGAGGCAAAAAGCACATAAATGCTTCCATCTTCAACTAGATACCACACAAGACCAAAAAAATAGATGTAAACTAAGTGTTTTAAGTTGGCCGTTTCTTGGCTTTATTCTGTGTTGGTAGCACAATATTAAGTGCAGTGGCAGAACTGTAATATTGTAGATTTCTAAGCATAAAGCACATGTAATTATCACTTTAAGAAATTATAGTACTGGTTACTGTACAAGTAAGAGTTGTTGCACTCCTAGGAAGCTTTGTTTACTGTCTGTAATGTGATGTTTATCTCCGGCCCTGTTCCCCCAATACCTTTTACCCCGTTGACTGTTTTAGTGTCGATGAAAAGAAAGGATTTGAGAAGTTGTTTCCTTGTCTGGTTCCGAGGCACCAGGGAGGCAGGGCTGTGGGACAGCAGCTCGTGCAGGTCTGTGGCCTGGCACGCACACAGGAGCGGGTCCTGCCCCCGCCTTGGCTTCGCTTTGTCACCAGGAGCGGCGGGTGCAAAGGGGCTGCAGCCCTCCCCTGTCCCACCAGGTCTCCTGCTTGCCCATAGGTCTCTGCAGCAGCTGATGCTACTTCAGGTGCTCACGTGTGCCCACTGCTCTATAGTAAAGACAAGATGGCTCTTTTCTTAAAGTACTTACCTAAATTTAAAGGGAATAAGGCAGAAACAAAGAGCAATTGACTTCTTTATGCACAGGACCTTTCCTTGAGTTTTGTAAGAATGTTCTAGGTTATTTTCCTTTCCTTCTCTTCCTCTTTCAGAAGCAGGATTGGCTCAGGTGGTGTACATACAGCAGCTGAGTCTTACACTTAGTGGATTAGCAACTGTAATTTTGAAATACCAAATACAGGAAGAAAGCTAAATCCTGTTGTTTCACATGTACTCTGATTTGCAAAAAAGCAATTTTTTTTTTTTTAAATCTACGTAAAGTCATTTAAGCAGAGACAACACACTAAGGCCATGTTAATAACCTCTTTAAAAAGAAGTAGGCTTATTTTTGTTTAAAAAGTGTTGATGTGAACTGTGAACCTTTAAGTGCTTTAAGGAAAGGAGATTGCCCACCACCTAGTGTTAGTATTTTTGTTTTTATTTTAGTGCTGTCTTGAGACAGTATTGCATACACTTAACTTCCTTCCCTGACCCATATACTTGAGGAGTTGAAATCCTGAGCTCCTGAATATTGAAATTACTGTTGGTAAACTGACAGGTAATTTCAGTTGTGTTAATGGCATTTGACCTTTACAAAAATGCTGCTTTTGAATTCATCCCTTTCAGAGGGAGCCATCATGGTTGGTAACCTCTGCCACCTCTTTCTACCTTGCCCAGTATCCTTACCACCAGAAAAGTCTCAGCTAGTGTGATAAGAAGTTGTGATGTTCCTTTTCTGTTCAAGGTGTGAGGAGATCAGCCTGTGGTTTGTCCATCTGCCACACACCATTCTAGTTGCTGAATTGGATTACTTTTAACTGTGTTTGCAAACTCTTGGGGTGTGCGAGTGGTAGCTGTGTACGTTTTTGAACTGTATCTTTTCACTTTTGGCTGTTTTGTTGGGACTGAGAAGTCATTCAGGATGTTGTGGCTGTATGTTCCTGTGCAGGCTGCTCGGTGTTGGAACGGCTTCTTGCTGTCTCAAGAATGCTGCATGCTTCTGGATAGAACTTTGTGTCCCCCCAGACCAAATCCAGAGAGGATCCCTTTCAAATTTCATTTTAATGATTAAAGCCTGACAGTATTGGTCAGAATCTTGGGAAAGGAGAACACATCTTGTGGCGAATTAGCACTAAATGTGACTTCCAAAATCCACAGTAACTGGAGAGGGGTGGGGGAAATGACATGGAGCTTACCTCCACAGTCTGTTTTCTGCTCTTCTTCTAGTCTGCCTTTAAAATTTTATATTATTAAAAATATATTTAAAATCCTTAAGGTCATGAAATTTAGGGACTGATGAAACTTTTTTCTAAATCTGACCTGAATTCTTGAAGACATCCAACATCGTGGCTTGCTTTCCTTTTTTAAGTTTTCAAGTCATTCAGTACCTTATTCAGTGGCACTGATGTTAGGAGCAGATACTCTTCTTGATGTAGAAAAACCATGAAATGACAGAACAAGAATAATCTAGGTAGATCTGATGTAAGCTCCGTAAGAATATACATTAGAAGGAAACTTTTATGGGAAGGTTTTTTTTTTTGGATGTTTAACAATGGAAGCACCTAAAACTCTTCTCTCAAAGAGAAAGAACAACACATACATTGTTAGTATATGAAAGTCCACCTTATGTTCTCTAAATATGCCAGTAATTCACTAACACTGAAAAGAACATCATGAATTCTTAAACTCTGTTTTGTGAGTCACAGTGCAATAGTATCCTTGACTTTGATAAAAGCCCGTGAACTTTTGGAGATAGCTCTGTCTTGGCAACAGAAAACCTGAGGACTTTTACTAGTTCTGTATTTTGACCGTATTTTTCTAAGTAACTTTTTCAGTTATATTTATTCATCATAGTTTTTTTTTATATACATAGCATTAAATGTTTATACAAATATAGAAGGTGACTCCAAATAGTCAAAGGGATGGTGTCAGAAATATTCTGTGAATGTTAATAATCCTGTCATATCTAGTTCAAAGCTATTTAAAAGCTGTATCTGTATGGAGGCCTCACATAAACATAGGAATTAGAAAATACCAATTCTTAAAGGTGTTAGGTGTGTGACTGTTCATCTGTACCTACATGAGCCCTTTGGGATACCGCTTCTGAATGTTTCTTATGTATTAACCCCAAGTGTTGTTGTTGCTTCCACCCCCCATTACATGAAGTTTTATAGTCGGCATCACTGGATGAAGCTGCTTCCATGAACAGTGCTTTATTTTGCATTCCTCATATAGTCAGTGCTTCTGTAGATAGCAGCTGTCGAAGTAGCAGGGCACTTGCTTTCATTGGAATGTATTTTTTTTTTTCCACACATAGTCTATACAGAAACATTCCCTAGTTAGAAATGTTCTTCCATTATGGAAGTGTTAGTATTTTTTCATTTGTGTGTGATCTGGTTTTTAGCACTAGATTCCATTAAAAGAATACTATCATTAGACTTGGTCCTCTGACAAAATTACCGAGACCCCATTATGTTTGAATTAGGAGCGAGGTGGAGATGCTTTAGTCATTGCATATGTGTGCTTTGAACTTTCAGTAGGGTGAAGCAACCAGCCCACTTCTTAGTGAGAGTCACATCTGGTACAGCCACTCTGAGCCTGTGCTGAGGGCAGTTCCTGTGGACGCAGCCCCTGTTCCCTGGAACTGCTCTTCAGTTGTCTTCCTTGTGATTTGTAAGGAAATAAGAGCACACACAGCTCCTGGTGTGCCTTGCTGCCTTACTTGATTGGAGATCAAGCTGCATCGTTCCCGTGTGTAACTCTCGTGTTTCCATCCAAGTCAAACTTTGCATGGTGCCTCAGTAAGATTTCATGTGTTTTCTTCACAAGTTGTATTTCATGTGTATGAGTGTGTTTTGGACCTTCCCTCTGCATCTAAAATGATCACTCAGAAAAGTGGTGTGATGGTGGTACCAGTTTGTGAATGTGATAGATGTGTTTAAATGCTTCAGGAGAAAACTAACTGGGGCACAACTTCTGTTTTCTCCCTAACCATAAGTTTTGCCAGTCTAGGCCAAAATACATAAAATAGATTTACAGAATCTGTGCAGGTAATTTTCTCCTCCCTGGCTTTATAGAGCAAAACAAAGTTGAGCCTCTTTTCACTTTTTTTTAAAGTTACGTTTTAAAGTATTTTTGTCTTATTTGTCCTTATTTGACTTCTATTGCTTTGAAAACAAATGAATAGAAAAGATACACTTGGGTCATGGATTTGGAATCTTAAAAAGTGTATGAAACACATGCTTGGACCCAAAATTATGGCTGGATTCTCTTTACTTTCTTGTTACCTAAAAGGAAGATACATGTTGCTCTTGTCCTTGCGAAGCTTTCTCCCTAGAATTCCCACTGAGGAGCCTGGGGCTGTTCTCAGAGTGCTGCTGGCCGTCTTGTCACACGGGATCGGCTTCAGGTGGGCTTGGGTGATGCCACCATACAAGTACCATTCTGAACTGGTGTTTCTGTGGCTGTCACTGCTGCCTGTGCTGTAACGGTGGCAGCAGATACCTTCTGTCGTGCACTTTCACACTTTTCACTGCAGTATTACTGGCTAAGATTTCAGTTTCCAAAAAAAAAAAATAATTACAATCCTACATGTGTGAGGCTGATTTGTGGAACGGAATTGGTGGTGCCCTCTTGGTGAAATTTGTGCTTAAGACTTTGTAAACTCTGCAGTCTTGAGCAACTGATGTTTCTTTCACATGGGTGTATCTTGAACCAAGGTAAAATGATGCTTTTAGTATTAGTTTAATCACAACCATTTTGTGTGTACATATCTTCTCACCACCCTGCCTGGTTTATTTTGGCCACCCAGAAGTGTGTTTTATTGTGCTCCCAATTTGTGGTTACTTTGCTGTGTTACAAAACTAAATGAAAATACTTGCCACCTTAGCCAGGTTGAATTTTTTTGTGAAAAGCAGTGGTAATGTGTTTTTTCCTTTGTTTGAAATGTTACACTGAATGTTTTGTAGGAAGTTTTTTTTTTTACTGTGTTTTCAATAAAGTTAAAGTGCGATTCATAGTGGAGTTTTGATTTTTTTTTAAAATTTTAAGCAATGAAAGAAAATAATCTGTGGCATTCTAAATTATCCTGCCAGTAGCTGGTGTTGAATAGTTGCATTCCTCTCTCTTCTGCCTTCCTCCCCCAATTGCCAGCTATGATCTATGAGGTAGTTTGTTGTAAGCCAGATGTATCAACATGTGAAGATTTTCTTCTGATAATGAGTGACATAAGGGACAAATAGGTCGCTCTCCCAAGGAAGACTCTTCAAATGCTTGAAGCCAGGCATGATGGAACAAATGTGAACAAGAACTTTTTTCTGTTCAAGTGTTGCGAAAACTGGTTGCTGTTACCAGAAGAGAGATGGGCAGGATGGACTCTAGGACTGAGTGACATGATACAGATAGGACAGTCAAATATCTCGTGATGAATTGCCTGAGTAAAACCAAACCAACCTGTAGAGAATAAGTGGAAGATAAACATATCAGCAGTGTGCTAATTCAAATATTCAAACTTCATAACTGGTCTATTTTGAGTAGCTATTAACACTTTAATTCTCAATTCTGTCTACAGCCTCTTTGAGTAGAAGAGGTGCTGCTCAGGTAAACCTCTGGACTTGTGCTGGTTTTGGCTGGGATAGAGCTGATTTTCTTAACAGCAGCTGGTATAGGGCTATGGTTTGGATGTGTGCTGGAGACAGCACAGCGCTGGTAACACTGGGATGTTTTAGTCTCTGCTCAGCAGAGCTCACACCCCACATCACCAGCGAGTGGGCTGGGGGTGCATGGGAAGCTGGGAGGGGACAGAGCTGGGACAGCTGACCCCAGCTGACCAAAGGGGTATGAAAAAAGGTGGGGGAAGGAGAAGGAAGGGTGGGATGTTCAGAGTTTGTCTTCTCAAGTCACTGCTACATGTGGTGGAGCCCTGCTGACCTGGAGATGGCCAAACACCTGCCTGCAGATGGGAAGCAGTGGAAGGAATTCATATTCCTTGTTTTGCTTTGCTTGGGTGTGTGGCTCTTGCTTTACCTATTAAACTCTGTTTATCTCAACCCATGAGCTTTACTCTTCTGATTCCCATCCAGCTGCATGGGAGTGAGCAAGCAATTGTGTGGGGCTTAGTTGCTGGCTAGGGTTAAACCATGACAGAACTGTATAAACTTTTAAAAATTTCTGCTTTGGAACAGATAGACCAAAATTTAAGTTAACAGAAAACATTCAACTGTGCTGAAAATATTTCCATGTCTCAAAAAAAGCATAAAAGAGCTTATAAATGCAAAACTACTTTATAAAAAAGAAAACAAAAATTAGCTCAACCAACCTGCATCTGGATCTTTTCCCAGTTGGTTTCACTTACTAATATTTCTTTTCCTTATGACTGCTGAATTATATCTCAACTTGCAGCTCGAAGAATCTAGCTTTAAAAAAAAAAAAGTCATTTAGGTGGATGTCATAAGAACTCAATAGTTGATTGCTGAGCTGTTGAACCTGAAAAGAAAATTGCTTTCTGTTAGACCTGAAGTTACTTACGGGTAGTGCATGTGTGGATGAATTGAGAGTGGCTGGACACTGATAAGTTAAATGTTCTATGGAAACTTGATTCTATTTGCAGCTGGTGTCTGGTGCATAAAGGTTAAAAGCATCAGGTCCCTAAACTCCACTGATGGTCCATTATCCTTTAGAGAAAACTAAGGACTGAACTTTCCCCAGATACATATGCTATTCATACATGGGTGCAGCACAGAGGGTACAGCTGTGGTAGGGGAAGGTACAGAACTTGGCTGAGCATTGGTTATTTGATGGGAAACCAGTGCATCTGCTGTGGGATTAGTTAAAGGCCTGATAACCAGTGAGAGGAGAGGCATCTTAAGTGTCATCCTTGGCGTAGACTTTTGTCATCTACTGCCTTTAAACGTGTTACTGCATATTGCATGTAAGCCTAAGCAATCTAGTCATCATCTCTGAAGATGCTTCCATAAGTGCTCAGCAAAATAAGTATCTGAAAGCAAGGAATGCTTTTCTTTATCATTTCCTTGAGCACAGTTCTAACTCAAGGTCTCTTTCTTTGCTACCCCAGTATCTCAAAGTTCTGCAGGGAGTCTTGCAAGCCTTAGACTTGTCTTTTGTGACTCTGCTCATAAATGCTTTCAGCAGTTTCAAGGAACATTTCAACACCTGTACAGTGACCGTGCAATGTGAGCCCTTCTCTCCATGCCTTTCCTGGGAGCCAGAGCTTGATGGGAAAAGGGGCAGTGACCTTTTCAGGGAGCACGGGATGGGAAGGAAGAGGTGAGGTGGCAGAAGGGTTGTTGTCAAGGTCAGACAGCCTGATGGTACCTGAACACTTCCTTTTTTTTTTTTTTTTTGGTAGCTTTTCTGTACCAGGACAAGTGCTGCCTTACAGCTGTTATAGAGACCCTTCGTAGTGTATATCAGAATATTCAAAATGAACTTTTCTAGACCCAAAGGAATCAAGAGCCCAAATTCCACAAAGAAAACCCAACCACACAAAAAAACCCCAGAAAATCTGATAAGCTTACTTAGGATTTTGTTTAGGAGGAAATTTAGGAAATTCAAAGTTTAAAGAAATGAAAAAACTCATTAATTAATGTTGCTGTGTGTTTTGATTTTTTTTAAAATTGTCCATATGATGTGCAAGTAGGAAAGTGTCTTCTACTGAAACCCATAACGTTTCCCAATAAAGACTTCAGGGACAAATTTTAGAAGCTTCCAGGTAAGGAAAATGGTGAAAATAGTCATGTAAGGCAAGTTGTTTGCTTCTTGACCTTAAGTTTGAACCTGTGCAGTTATTTTTATTTTATGGCCCAATTCACTGCTAACTTAGACCTGTTTTGTGTTACTGATCCCTAACACAACCATATATTGAAAGGATGTATCCAGTTGTTGGTGCAAGTCCGATTGTTTCCTTGTTAGTTAATGCTGGTGTATCAATTTAACATAACTTTAAAAAAAAAAAGTCTTCTGGGACAGTGCATGTATTTTAACCACACTGTGATGGGAAGAGCAGTGGCCCCTTCCCTACCCTCTGGCAGAATTCCATGTCTAGCAAAGAGCAGATGGGTTATCTTGTGCTCCCCTCATGGCTTCACTGACAAGGAGGAAAAAAAAAAAAATCTAATTGTATCCCACGCAAACATGCACAATGACCTTCAGTGTTATGTGAAAAAACAAAACAAAACACCAAACCACCACCAACAAACAAAAACCCCAACCCAACCAAGAATCCTACTACAGGCCTCCTTCAGTATTTAGGTGTTGTGGTCTCCAAACAGTGCCAAGTGCCGGCGCAGTGGGCTTGCTGAGTGAGACAGGAAACACCACTGCACTGCACTGCAGTCAGGCTCAGCCTTTGTTGTAATGTGGTTGTGTATAACATGTATTTAAGCAGTAAGAGTCATAGTAAGTTTTATCTAAGTTGTTACCTAGGATCTAGCACTCAGTATACTCCACATTATGATTTTAACTGCTGCTACTGATTCCCTTTTAAAATCTGACTTCAGCAAATACAGGTTAAAATTATATGTAAGCCTCACGTAATTCCTGGTTTCTGTTCAACGTCAAGTCAGGGCTGATCCATCTGAAAACACTTTTGGTCCCAATGTATTCTTGGTCTTAATTTATATCTGTATCAAGCTTGAACAGACCTGAACAGTTTTTAGAAAGCAAAGGGGATAGAGAAGAAAGCTAGGATGGCCATGACCATGTTTTCTAATAGCCTCTCAGGACCCAAAATTTGAGGAAAAGCAACATTGTTTTAGCTCTTCTCCAGTGTCTTATTTCTGTTGATGGGAGAGAAACAGAGACAGCAAGTGGTCTGTTTCAGGGCTCGGCCCTTGTGAGCTGTGCTGTGACAGGCTGCTGAGGAAACTAGCCATGGAGCAGAGCTGAGAGCAGAGGGCAGGAGGGGCTGGCTTTGCACTGAGCAGGCAGTGCCCACCTTCTGCTTGTGCCTTTTGCCCTCAGCAGGGAGGAGGCCTCCCTTTGTGATCCTGAAAGTCCTCTCATGCAGCACCTTGAACAGAAACCGTAAAAATAGAGGAAAACTCTTGGGCCTGAGACAGTGATGTATGAAGTTCCCCTGCTGCTAAGATATTATCTTATTTTCTGCAGTGTATGACCTGACCCAATCTGTAGCCATCAATCAGCAAATAAAGTCTAAGCTTCAGAAGGGAAAAACAGTGTAATCAAATTTTAACCCCAAATTTTTTGCTAACTGGAAGTCACTGTGAACGATCAATGTAAACAGAAAGGAAATAAGCATTTTGTATCATTTGTGTTAACATATTCTAGGGTTTAGATATTAAATCCTGCTGTGTTTTAATGCATGACGCTTACCAACATTTTTTCCTAGAAGAGCTGAATTTATTGAATTTTATTTCTGAAAAAAAGATACCTCTGTATTTATGCCTGTGACTGCTTAAAACTTGAATAGAATGGCATGGACTGAATATTTGAAATGCTCTGTTGGTATGCAAAACTACATCAGTCATCTGAACAGCAGTACAGGACTATGATAAAACGAAACGATGAAACAAAGCACCGAGGTGAACTTTGTCCAGAGGGAGGCCTTTTAAAGTGATCTAATGTCAGCAAATTGCTTACTAATGTGTTGACTTATGGCAACCCTCAAAAGTAAAATGAAAAGGCTGGAATTTACAGCATATCAATGAATCAGTTTATAAGCTTTTACTGGTTTAATATCCTCCTAGTTTTGCTGCTTGGAGCTACTTCAAGTTAGCAACAGAATGTTTACCATCTCCATGTGATAAAGGAAGTCAAATGACTAAACAAATTCCAGGACCATTATGCTGTTTGGTGAGATTTAAGTTGAAATTGTTGGGAGAAATCACGTGGAAAAGGGAGGAAGAAAATAAAGTCAACTACATCATTTCACAATGACTTACCTCGCTTCCTCAACAATGGCAAGATTTTTAGCAAAGCTGGAGATAGTGTAATGCTTTTGGAAAGATTTAATTGCACCAATAAAAGACTATACCCCAATTAAATGACATACAGAAGTGACATTTATGGGTAGGATCAAAGAAATTCACTACCTAACATGCTGAAGCAACACTCTGCTTTTTGTGTATAGTAGTGCTAAAAAGTAGCCTACTTAGGTTTCAGTGACCTTTCTTATCTCCTTTGATCTAGATTATTAAAAATTTTAATGCTAGGTGTAATAAGGGCTACTGTAACACCTTGAAACAAGTCACATGTCCTTCCCAGGACTAATATTTTAGACCTTGCTTTTTATTTTATGATATTTATTTAAGCATATGAAACTTGCTGTTTAACCTTTGTGATCCTTTCAGAGAAGGTAGTTATTAAAAAATTAGATTTTTTTTTTTCCCCAGTTGTGATGCTATTTGATTATGGTAATGTTTAGGAAGTAGCATTTTAAAAGCACAGCACAAGTTTGAAAAGGAAAATTTTTTTTTTTTTAAAAAAGCTTTTCAGTATCTGGAAATGGACAACTCACTGTGAAAAATTTCTTTAGTGTTTTCACTAACACGTGCTAATGAACAGCAAGAAAATATCTACAATTCCCACTTGAACGCTGCTGAGAAAAGTATATATATCTTTTAATCACAGTTAGTACAGAATTCATCTAAACCTCGCTCATCCATATGAGAAGATTTTTATAAATTCATTCTTAACAGAAGGTGAAAAAACAGTGCCCATTTTGATATGTGCAAAATCCTATGAGAATGATTTCCTAATGCTGTGGACTATATATGGAGACTACGTTAAATTGAGACCTTTCCACATCTTAGAGTCACGTGATGAAATTTGGGCTGTCTATCAGGCATCTTCAGAAGCCCTCTTCAATTTCCCTTTACTGAGAATCTGTTTATAAACTAAGCACGAGCCCACAGAAAACTGACAGCCTTCTTGGGGCAGGAGCATACGACAGTTCCCCCCGTCTTCCATGCAGAAAGATCTGAGTGTTTTGGGTTTCTTTTCTCATCGTGCTACTTGAGGACAGTCACAATTGTTCATCTCTGTTAGCCAGGCTGTTTGGTAGCCTGGGCAATGGCTTCTATAGCCAAATGTGATCGTATGGCCAAACGTGATTGTTTATGGATTTGTTTCTCCTGTAACCCCTTAATACAATTCTATAGGAAAAGAGATTACTGTGATTTATGACAAAGAGAAGGGAAACACAAGGCCTCACAAAAAGGTCACTATTCTTGGCCTAAGCAAACTTAGGCCTTAAAACAAAATATGTAAATTATTTTCTTCTGTGTTATAAAGAGGATGGAATGGACAGACTAACAAATCAGTGGAGTGCCTCCAGTGCTTACGTGTGTAAGAAGTGACTTATATGAGTAAGAAGGAATAAAGCAAAAGGCGGAAAGCTGATATGCAGGAATTCTGATTTAAGGGAGCCAAATCAGACCAAAGAAACAGACCGAAGAAGCAAATGCAACTTACCTTTTTCTTAAGGAATTCCTTTCTGTCTTTTGGAGGCACTATGTTTCTTAGCTTTTTATGCTATTTTCTAATCATATATCCCACTCCAGGAAGCTTGAATTCTGTAAGACAATTTTGCTCAAGATGAGGAAATGCAAATTTATATACATCTACTACTTATATGAAACAATTGTTTTATACTTTATTTTTGAAACTTTAACTTCTGTAGTGCATTCACTCTGTCTAGTTTTCAATTATGTTAAAACTTTTAACACATTTGGAGCATTTAGAAATATTGTCCAGTGACAACAGCTGTAGCAGAAGTAAGGCTTACCTAACAGTGCACTTTATTTTAAACAAGCATTCTCTGTCATGTAGTACTCTGGTCTGATACTGCTTTTTTTTTCTACAAATAGGACAAGACTTTTTATCTGTAAATTTTTCAAAGGCTTTCAGACATGCCTGAAAAAATAATTGCAATTAAAATATATTTCATATTATCGGAACAGATGAAACTGGACAGATAACAGAATGTAAAAGCAGTTTACACATCAATCCATGAACAGTCTACAAGATGCATATTTTTATAATTAAAATGTTATAGGGAATTTTGGAAATCTCCACATAGCCACATGAAATTTCATTAATTCAGCTATTCCTACTTAGAACACAAATGTTTGTTACAAACCATGTTTTCCCATCTGATTTTAAAAAAGCTAATAAAATGGAATAAAGTGATTAATCATAAAAGAACCTTAAATTATATTTCTTACCATAAAAATCTGGAATCAAAATAACTTTAAGATGATTACATTTAATTAATTATGATATTCACTTAAGTAATTTAATTGAAATACTCTTGTATTTTGTGCTTGAATATTTACATAAAAATGTACACACTTTATGGAATACATGGAAACATGAAAGCAGCACCTGTTTTTCAAAGGGGAAAAAAAACCCAACACACCCACACCAATGGAACCTGACTTTAAACCATTCTAAAAGCTGGAAAGTACAAAAAATCCTGACAAGAAAAATTCTGACTGCCTGAAAGGTCATCAGTTTCTTCCTGTTACTACTGGAGTCTTTTGGGTGAAAATAAAATTAGTTTTCTATATAAATTACTTAGTATCTTCCACCTTAAACCAATATGTGAATTTTGTGTCAACACACAGAGTGGTAAAAGTCATGAAATGCCAACGGCTACTGATTGGAGGAAAAGATCATAAAACAAGTACTTAAAATGAAAGCTGATAATTTTTTTTCCCTTTTCCCCACAGAGATGTTAAACTTCAAGAAGTGATACACATCAAATGCAGCATTTCATGGACACAAAAGAGAAAGCATGTTCACAGGCTGCACGAAAACTTCACCTTTATCTGACCTAAATTCCCACCAAATGCTGATGATCTCTGTCCTGACAAAAGATACGGAGTGGGACAAAACCGGCAGTTGGCTCTTAGAGGAAGGAAAAACTGGGAAAGGAGTGAAAACCAGAACAAGTAGTGTGCACTATTGAGCTGGCAAACACAAAAGGATTAATGGTTAGCAGCCAGCTGAAGGGAAGGCTTTCAGATACAGTGGCTTTTTTCCCTTGAGGGAGGAAAGCTAACGAAACACTGAGGACAAAAAGAATTCCAGAGGCATTTCCCTTTTTGTGCCAAATCTAAAGTAACCTTTTTAATGAGTGCCGTCTTTTGCTCTCTCTTGTCAAGCTTTAGACTTTCAGGGTAGCCAGAAATTGGCAGAATGGTCTTTTGCCAGATCCATCCCACCTGCCTGTGGACAATTGTACACCTTCAGTTCATGTTGATGTAAAAGAAAGCAAAAGCCCTGTATCCAAAGCCTTGATTCACATCACAGACTTGGCTGCAAAAAGACTTCAAGAAAAATTAAAAGAACAGGCAGAAAAAAAACCACTCTAAAATCCACTGTGGAAAAGAACTTGCAAGCAGTTGGGATAATTCTTCTAATTAGCGTCATCACCTCTCTGAAGCAGCACTCCTCTTCAATCAGTCACTTGTCCTTTTTGATTAAAGTTTTCAAGATGATAGATGGGAGAATCTAATAAAGCATGATGTATTTATACTTATGCTATACACATGCATTGAATAAAGCTGTCAAGGTAAAATGCAAGCACTTCTTCAGACAACCTGAAGAAGTGACTAGCTAGCATTAGGAGCACACCTACTTCCATTTCCCAAATAGAAATAATGACTGAACTAAACTGCAATTAACAAAACTTGTGAGAAAAAAAAATATATCTTAGATCCTGTGATTAGTATTTACCATTCTGATGGATGAAGGCTGGTATTGTACCTAACAGGACTTTACGTGGAGCAGGAAACAGCCTATACCTGTGTGGAAGAACAGATGCAAAGGCTGATTGCTTTCTCTTCTGGTGCCATAACACCAGAAATGAACAAATGCCACCAACCTTTCTCTACCATGTCATGCCCAAAATACTTTCAGGGTTGGCCACTGATACCTGGGTCCAGCTATTAAAGGCTAAGTAGTGTCTTACAGTAGAATCTTTCCTTCCTTTCTTCCTCGAGGTAATGATTTTTAGCAGTAAATCTGGAAAAAATTTCCAGATACAGTTGCATAGTCTCCACAATTACACAGTTACAGACGTACCTGAGGTTGAAGTGCAAACTCTTCCCTACATAATGCACGAGGCTGTACGGAGCCTCCATGCTGTAGGGATCCCTGCTTTGGTTTTACCCATTCTTCAGCACTTAGTGGCAAGGAAGGAGGCTTAGCTAGGCCTAATTTCTGAGCTGTAGGCAGTAACAACAATAGATCAATGAATAAAACCCATCAGGATATGCAGACAATCCATTTTTGGCATGTGAAATTCATAAATGATGCACTTATTTAAAAATACTTTATATGGATACATCATAGAAAGCTATCATTGGACAAACCACTGGCACACAACATACTTTTTACTATTAATTAGCTATCCAGTAATTGTCAGAACCTCTTTTACATGCAGGATTTATGCAGGATTTTTTTTAACATGTAAACTTTAGTTTACCAAATAATTTGAATTTATTTGGATACCTTTTCACAGCTGCTGAGATGGGGCTTATTCATTATACAATGTAATGAAGCACAACAAAATTTCAAGTCATCAGTATAAACAACATCTCTGTTAGAATTCACTTGTGAAAGTTTCTTCAACACTGCATTTTTCTATTCTTAAAAATGCATAAAGTGGTATAATAAAAACTGGTACGAAATACAGAAGTATAATGAGACTGTAGAGGACTTGAGAGAAATAAAGAGCATAAAGAAATAAAGAGATGGTCACAAGACATCAGTGATAGTGCCACTGTGATACCTGAGCTTGTTGATCTCAAGCAGTAACTTTGAGGTGCCTTGCTGCACGTCCCTGTGAAACCTCTACCTTTGCAAAAAAGGAATCAGTGAAAAGACTTACAATATTCACTCCAGTCCTTGAAAATGGCAGATAAAGTCCAGTGTCAGTCTCTCAGTAGTAAAAAAAAGATGCTAGTAAATAACAAGGATCTATTCTTTGCTGTATCTTTGAAGATCAGAAGCAGCAGCTTGTGCAGACTAACCAAAGTCAATGGAGGAAAGTGCAAGATGTGTGTTATAAGCCAGTAACATGAGTCCACGATGAGGCCTCAGTTGTATTTGCTAAAACAATAAAGGCAGAGTGACACACAAGTCAGAATGCAAGCTGATGATTTCTAGATGATAGTTTTAATTCTAAATGGGAAGGAAAAGGTCAACTCTTACATTCATACTAAAATCTTTGCATAAACCAAGTATTAACAAGGAGCAGTTATTTGTTCTGTACAGGCTTTCACAACTCCAGCAGACAGCTTGTGCATCCAAACCCATTATGTTAGTGAATCACAAAGAGAAAAAGAATCCTGACAAATGAAAGGAGGAGGGTTTGGTTGTCCACTTGCTCAAGTACCTCATTATTAATTTTTGAGACAAAAATTCTTGTCCTGAGCTCATCCATCTTCAGATGTATATTGTTAATAATTTAAAATGTGCACAAAACAGTCTTTGATCTTTTTAAAGAACTATTGTCAGATACTAAAGGAATTATAAGGATTACAGTCCTCTCTTTAATTCAGTTATTTGCCTAATCTATTTCCATGTGAGCTCATGATATGCTTCAAATGTAAATCAGTTTGATTCTGTATCTTAGAACAAGAGGAGGGCTTTGAGATTTCAAGCTGGGTCAGTTTATGCTTTTGGAGCAACATGGAAAGTGCTTTCTGTGTGTATGGTTTGGTTCACACTGCCTCACCTTGCCACTTTTGTTACCCTTGTAAAGGTATCAAGTCAGAGGTGAGGAATGCATGCAAACCCAAGTATCAAAAGACAGTGTTAATCCATGAGTGCTGTAGATTATGTCAGTGGTCATAGATGAATTATTTAGAGGGACAGATGCTGTTTTGGTTCCTGGACAACACAATGTGCAGCACAAATACAGCATCTCCACACATGCAGGAGCTCACAGCTCTGCAGGCTTTGGGCTGGAATTCAAGCAATTTGTGTCCAGCAGCAAAGCACACATTTATTTATTTACAGCATTAAAATTTCAGGATGGTAAAATATAGACAACGCTATTTTATGTTAAGAGTGTATCAATTTTAGTGCAGTAAAATGCTTTTAGCTGTTGCTCTTGATAGAGAAAAAGAATATGAACTTTAAGATCAATATGAAGGGTCTTGCACACTTTTCAGAGTCTGAAAACTAGTTCAGAACACGTATTTTGCTTAAAGCTCATGCATGAATTGCTGAAATTGCTAGCTGAGTGATGAGGAAGTTGTCCTAATTCTTTGCTGACTGCATGTCCCAGTAGGAAGGATAAAGCCATTAGCAGTATACATACAGGAAAGACTTTACCATCCCATTCCAAAGTACATAGTAAAGATATGAGGTGGCTAACAACCAGAGGAATAAATAGATCGATGCATTCACTCATGATTATATGACATAGCAAAGAAAAGAGTGAGCCAAGTTAGAAGCCAGGCCATCAGTCCAATTCCAACACATAGTAATTGCCAAGGAACAGCATCGTTACATAGAGTCATAGAGGTTGGAAGGGACCTCGAAAGATCATCTAGTCCAACCCCCCTGCCAGAGCAGGACCACCTAGAGTACATCACACAGGAAGGCGTCCAGGTGGGTTTTGAATGACTCCAGTGAAGGAGACTCCACAACCTCTCTGGGCAGCCTGTTCCAGTGCTCTGTCACCCTCACAGTAAAAAAAAATTTCCTGATATTCACCCTGAACCTCCTATGCTCCAATTTGCACCCATTACCCCTTGTCCTATCACAGGTCAACACTGAAAAAAGCTTGATTCCATCTTCCTGACACTCACCCTTTACATATTTGTAAACATTGATGAGGTCACCCCTCAGTCTCCTTTTCTCCAGGCTAAAGAGACCCAGCTCCCTCAGCCTTTCCTCATAAGGGAGATGCTCCACTCCCTTAATCATCTTTGTAGCCCTACGCTGGACTCTGTCCAGCAAAAGACTTGAACTGGTGTGCCCAGAATTGGACACAATACTCCAGATGCGGCCTCGCCAATGCAGAAAATAGGGAGAGGAAAACCTCTCTTGACTGACTAACCACACC